CACACTACCATGCCACCGTCATGCCAGCGTCACTGCTGGGCTGAGAATGATCCACGACCCAAACACTATCTGGTCAACAGGGGTTCTGTGGACAAAAACTGACCAGTGATAATTGGGGGTAGAGGGTGACTGGCAAATTGTGCATCAACAGGTGGACGAAAGTCTATATAGTCTATATAGTATAGTTTATAAAGTGGCCAGTAAGTGGAAACACAAGATAAGGGTTTCTAATAGGGATGTCCCGATTCGATCTGGAAAAAGATCTAAAAAAAGCCCAATCCACCTCTGATCCCTTGGTTTTTTCTGCCCTGTCATAGGGTCAACATAAACAGACATTGTCCAGGACCTGTGGCGGTGAGGTGCGTTTTCAGATGTTAACAAGCTGTGCAAACGTCTGTTCTGTTCTACTTTTAAGTAAAAGATAAAAACTTGTAATATCTGCAGTATTTAGTTTTGATTTTTGTCAATGTACAAAATACACTCCTGCCACGTTTTTCACTCGCAAGTCACACCTGAATGAAAACAAAAATGTTTCATAAACATTCTGCTTTCCCGTTCGAGTCATACGAGGGGTAGAAAATTAAACGATGAAAATAGGATGGATAAAAATGCATGCGAGTTAAAAACAGGATCAATAATGTGCTTTTAAACTGAATTTATGATTGAATAACTGTTAATTTAATCAAACCAACTGCTATTTAATTAAAACAGAGCTGACTTTACTAAGTACAAACCATGTTTTATTATCCAACCCTAAGCGTGTTTGTATGAGGGTGAACATTTTTAAAGAAAGTTGATGAAAAATAAAGTTTTTATCTGCTGAGTATGTTTTGATGTCTTGCAGCATCATTTTTAGCGCTTCTCATTTATTGTTTAACATGAGGAGTTTTTGTTTCCCTCTCACCTCAACATGGTCAGAAATCCTGTCTGTCACCTATCAACGAGTTCCACTGCTGCTGTCTGCACATGCTTAGTGGTGCTTACCTTTAACTTTTAATGGGTTATTTCTGCCGTATGTAGTTAAAATGGTTTACTAGGGTACAAAATCAATGTGCTACACGTGGGGTTCTCATCACAACTCTGACAGAACGCGGGCTGAACTTTCTGACTGACATGTAGACGTGAGGCGGAAGTATCACAAATTGTGGTAAAATATATGAAAAATTAAAATGAAATTAAAAAAAAAACTAATGTTAACAATGAATCCAAGAGCCAGGTGACAAAAATGGACCGTTTTCAATGATAAATGCTACAAGATGCCCAAACATGCTCAACACATAAATCATTTTGATCAAATCATTTGAAAAAACACCACTGTAGTTTTACGTTTTCATGCATGTTCATCATCTTTTTGTCTTTTATCTTTTTATTGAAGAATATCTGTTGTTTCCACCTTCATACAAAACCATCTCGGTGATGGATGATAAAGATGGTTCATGTTTTATCAGTTAAACATTGTTTTAATTAAAAACAAAACAGTTGATGTCATCAAATCAAATAACTTTTCACTGACCATATCATTGCATATCATCAATGCAGTATGACACTGTTGTATATCGTCGCTGTCCAAAGAAAAACATGTATCTCCAAAACAGTAACTTTACAGGAGAAGGAAAAGACGCTCTTCAGTTTTGATGTAAGTCAATGGGAAGAGATTTTCTTTCTAATCAATTTTGCTCTATTTTTATTGGTCTATTTATCACAACATTTTCACACAACATAAAAAATGGCTGCCGTGCTAAAATGATGTAGAAAAGTGAAAATGGCAAAAATTGGCATATATGTTTTTCATTGGACAGCGACAATATTCATGACACCATGCTACGGTCCGACCAATATATTGGTTGGCTGATAATATCGGTCGATACAGACAATCTGCAGTCTTACCTGTAACTGTAAAAATGTTGCTGATAATTTATCAATAATTAGCAACTTTGGGTTGTGCTGTCATTGATTAAACAGCTCTGCCTACAGCGCTACAATATTTATATGATTGAATTCTGTGAGTTTCCACTCTTTATTTGAGTTCAAGAAAAATGACCATTAAGAACTGTCAGTCATATTTCACAATTCAGAGTTGATAAATGAGCTTATCAGTCAGTAACGAAATGTTTAAGCAATACTAAAGACATATAAATCAATATTTAAATCAGAAATATGAAATTATTTTGGTGAATGTTATCACCTATTAGAGTTTTCAGTGCCATGAAAACTGGATCATGTCAGTCACAAAATTTTTGTATCAAGTTCTGACCACGCACATCAAAGATTAAGAGATTTTTCTGGTAGCCAAAACATCCAACAGGTCGGTCGAATTAGATCATAAGTCAAAATTAGACACATTATAAAACGTTCTTTACAAAAACAAAGTCCAGAGTTCCATATTATGTGTATGAAATGTGTTTTTTGTAGACTTATATTTTGTATTATTTATAAAAAATTCCAAGATTGGATCAGTATCAGCCCAGACTCAGCAATTAAGCACGTAGATCGGACATCCCTTTTTTCTAATAAAGTGGTCAATGGGCACATACACTTAACAACAATCATCACAGGCATAGGACTGGACACAGCCAGGCTGAATGCGAATGACCCTAAATGCCCATCAGCTGTGAGCACGCTGGGAGGCACTTTATTAAATGGGTTCCCTTTTATTTACAGGCACTAAAAAAGAGGGTTTTTTTTCTGAAAGAAGGAATTTTTTCTCTCTGTGCTGGATAAGAGGGACAAGTGCTCTCAAAAACCATGTGTGAACACTTTTTTTTGTGTTAACACTTTTTTTTTGTAACACATTTTGTATCAGGAAACAAGAATCACAGCATAGATCTGGCACAGACTGTGTAATCTGAACCCACTGTAGTGTTAAGAACTGGATCTGAATTGAATCTACAGGCTTGTTGTAAATAAGACACAAAAAGTAACACAAACATATTATAACTATATAAAAAAGGAATACGGCAGTGTTTTTCAACCTAATCTCGATCTACTGCCTCTGCAGCACATCACTGATTACACAGAGAGTAGCTTTGATACATTTCCCTAAACTTACAGGAGCGAGAAAATCTGCTGACTGTAATGACACTTCTGATAAAAGCCAATGAGCAGATGCTGAATTCTGTGAATACACATTTAAAACACGTGGCTGTATAATGGAAATTCTAAACTAAAACCATTACACTCAGTATAACAACACAGTTTAAAATGCATGAGAGGATCTCTTACCAAAGCTGGTCTAATGAAATTTAATCCACCACTGGACAAACAGAGTAAGGGTTTTCATCAGACGACACCTTTTTAAATGTGAGGTGTGCCGCATCTTGTGCTAAAAGAAAAGTGGGTGATTAATGCCTTTGATTGAGAAGTAGGTAAACACAAGGCAGCAGTCTGGGAGAACACAAAAGACTGAGACAAGCGCTAAACTTCAAAGCTGAGATATGGACCAGTCTACTGAACTGTATTCCCACAGGAACACTATTAAAAACCCTGATGTATTCAGACCTTAGATATTTAAAGGACTATGCTAAAATCTATTTAAACTCGAGTCGATTCCACGCAATGAACTCCATTCCAAAACCCACAGCATGGAGAAGGACATACTGCTTACATAAAGAATACAATATTATTTATTTTTGACCATAGCAAGAAATTTGAATAGCAAACACTACTTAATTAACTTGACTAATTAAGGCAGGCCTGGCTGCACCTGATTCTCCTCTGTCTCCTTCAGTCGGGTAGATGTTTTGGCACTGGCACCGTTATTTGCTGGTAAGACAATTTTTTTTGTTACAGCTTTTTTATTTTACTTTGTTTTTTCACTTCGTCTGAAGTAGAATACGACTGAACAGTCGATGTATGTGCTGGGGAAGAGTGTATTTTTATACAAACTGTCTAGACCAGCTGTGCCCAGCCCTTGTCCTGGAGATCTACCTCCCTGCAGAGTATAGCTCCAACCGTAATCTATCACACCTGACCCAGGTTATCAAGGCCTTCAGGGGAATGTGGCTATATGAGCCAGGTGTGTTGGATCTGAAGTCTCCAGGGTGGTAGATCTCCAGGACCAGTATTGACCAGCCCTGGTCTAGACAGTAACAGCAGAATGTCTCACTCTCTTGAAATTCACTGTGTGGAATCAAAGCCAAAGCTTTGGAATGGACTCAAAATCCTCAAATGCCTGGAATTAAATAAGTAACGCTTTTTGGGATCGACTCCCAGACACAGATGGCAGTTTTAAACGTGGCACTACTGCTGCGTTGTGTCAAAAGCTCATGATGTGCATCATACATCATGAACATTTTTTATAGTATCATGATTTTATATATTGTGATAACACCCAATCCCTAACTCCAGCCTCACCTCTACTCCACCCATCGTGGGGCAGTCGTGGGCTGGAGGTTAGGGAACCAGCCTTGTGACCGGAAGGTCGCTGGTTTGATTCCCTGAGCCGACAGTACGTGACTGAAGTGCCCTTGAGCAAGACACCTAACCCGCAACTGCTCCCCGGGTGCTGTGGATAGGGCTGCCCACCACTCCGGGCAAGTGTGCTCACTGCCCCCTAGTGTGTGTGTGTGTTCACTAGTGTGTATGTGGTGTTTCACTGCACGGATGGGTTAAATGCGGAGGAGTAATTTCCCTGTTGTGGGATAATAAGGGTCACTTCATCATTGAAAGAACAGCGTAAACATACTAACAGCTTAATTCACAAGTATATTTGACTGAAGAATTCAGTAAAGTGTTTTACAAAATTTGAAAATCCTACAACCGCCCAGTGGTTTCTATTGTAAGTGTATTTTGACTCAACATGTTTTCTTTTCTTTTCTAAGTGCAGGGAAACTTGTTTAAATCAGTCCCTGTGAAAAATCAAAGGCGCGCTTTGTGGCAGATAAACGCTGCAGTATTCCTTTAACTGCACAAGTTAAACGGATATGTTTAAAAATAGCACATTACGTGTTGCTTTTGGCACATCTGATTTGAGAGCGTCACAACACCATGCACTGTGTGAGTCACATAAAAGTGGTCTCGAGCTCCTGCTCCCATTTTCTGCTGAAGATAACAGATGGATGGGGGCCTGCCGCAGCGGCCTGTATGTTGGATGTGATAGCCGCAGGTCCTTTAGGGAAGGAGGCCCGTTTGCAGGACGGCGGAGAGCTGTTCCTTGAAGTGTTTCCATCCACCCGACTGCACATCAGCTCAAAGAAGCGCTCGCGGAAGCGGCTGGACAGTAAGTTGTAGATAATGGGGTTGACCGCGGAGCTCAGGTAGAACAGCACGCCAGACAGGAGGTGGACGTACTCAAATACATTGTGCATGTGGTCGGTCCACTGCGTGATGAAGCTCCACAAGAGCCGGTCAATGTGGAACGGCGCCCAGCAGATAGCAAAGACCAGAACCACTACAGCTGCAAGAAACAATGGAGGAGAAGAAAAAGAGGATTGTTTATATTACATTTATGTTTTTGGCATTGAGCTAACAAGCTAAAGCACCAGAAACAGGAGTCAGTGGTCAAGTGAAAATAAGTGAACACAGATAATAAACAACAAATTTTAGTGCACAATTCCTTTTTTTTTTTTTGGCATAAAGAATTTTTGAGAATAGTCCACCAACCAAAAATACCCAGCCAACAGCGTCCTGTGGGCAGCGTCCTGTGACCACTGATGAAGGACTAGAGGATGACCAACACAAACTGTGCAGCAGCAGATGAGCTATCGTCTCTGACTTTACATCTACAAGGTGGACCGACAAGGTAGGAGTGTCTAATTGAGTGGACAGTGAGTGGACACAGTGTTTAAAAACTCCAGCAGCACTGCTGTGTCTGATCTACTTGTACCAGCACAACACACACTAACACACCACCACCACGTCAGTGTTACTGCAGTGCTGAGAATGACCCACCACCCAAATAATAAGGTATACACTTGGGAATTCATTCATCCCTCACTGATGGAAATCCAGAACACTACCCCATTAAAGCAGCCCTAAATCACGATGCTCCCACCACCATGCTTCACTGTTCAGATAATGTTTTCATGATGGTATGCAGTGCCCTTTTTAAGCCATATGTGGTGCTATTTTCTTCCTAAATCAATCAACCTTAGTTTAATCCGTCTATAAAACATTTCTCCAGAGCGTTTTGGAGTGTCCAAGGTGCCCTAAGGCAAACTTCAGGCGTGCCACAGTAGCGCGGCTTCCTCCGTGGTGTCCTGCCATGAACATCATGCCTGGTCAATGTTTTTTCATATGGAAGACTCATGAACAAAAATGCTGACCACATTCAATGATTATTTCAGGCCTTTAGCTGTTTTTACTTCACTGGGCATTCTGCATTGTGCTTTTGGACTGATCTTAGCTGGGCAGCCACTTCTAGAGAGATTAGACAGAGTACCTCATCTTCACTTCTAGACGGTTTGTCTAACTGTCGGCTGATGCACACCTGACCTCTTTGAGATAACCACAAAACCCTTTTCAGATGGTTCAGATGGTGAGACATGGTTCACATCAGCAGATGCTTCTTGTGAACAGCAAACTCAAACGTGGTTTTTATAAGTCGAGGTAGCTCTGACCCACACTGCCGGCCTCGTTTCATTGACTGGACCGCTACCTCCTGACTCCAATTAGCTTCTGTTGAACTCATTAGCTTATAGCCCAGGGGTTCACATACTTTTCCAATCTACAATATGAATATTTAAAAGATGTATTCAATATGGAAAAGAACACTATGTTATTTTTTTGTGTTATTAGTTCAACAGAGTGTTTATTCTTTATTGTTACTTAGATCAGGCCATATTTGAAGATGACGTTATACATAAATGAAGGTGATTCCAAAGGGTTCACATACTTTTTCTTGTCACTGTAATCCTGAGTTTGCACCAGCCACACATTTGATTATAGGGTTTCATTAAGAAGCATTCGCTTTATAGGGGTGTTTTCACCACTGCACATTCAGAAACATGAGTCAACAGAACTTATAGTATCTGAATATCCTGAACTACCTGTATTATATATTTACATTATAATAACCACCATTCGCAAATGAGCTGAATCAGGTGTGTTTAATGAAGCAGTGTGCTAAAGTCCGCACTGTTTTGGCTTGCGAGGACTGGAGCCTGACACATGCTCTAAAGCATTACATTACATAGTTATAACAGAGATGTTTTACTCTGTTGCACAACATGGGGAAAGATGAGATGAGGACAGGGAGGAAGGGAGAGAACGTGATGACTAACACACTGCCCTACAAAGAGCAGTAACTGTACCAGGTAAGCAGCCTAAGTGTTCTGTTGTCCAGCAAAAACTTTTGTAGGTATATAAATTATACTGCAAACATATCATCGCTGTTCAAAGAAAACCATGTATCTCCATTTTTCTCAATTTTTCTTTTTCTCCACTTCATTTCAACACACCTGCTGTCCGTTGTGTGGAATTGTCATGATGATTGGACCAATAGAAATGCTTTAAAGTCACTTTGAATAAAACCTCTTTACATTAACTTACATTGAAAGTTAAGAGTGTTTTGCCTTCTCCTGTAAAGTCACTATTTTGGAGATACCTTTTTTCTTTGCACAGCGACGATATGTTAGTCAACATTAGTATCGCTTATGTATAACATCCCTATGCAGGTTATGGAGTTAATACTGTTTGTTATTGTTTACAGGCTATGATTGGTCTAAATCGGTCTCTTTAATGAGACACGCAGTCTTTTAGTGTTCTAGAAGTACAGGCGACACCCACGACACACTCAGAGAAGTGTGGCCTGATATCATTTATCACAAAAACAATATCAAAAGTCATACAGCCCACCTATAAATGAGCAAAGGTTGGCATGTTTCAATGTCTTCTTGCTCTAATACTGTGAAGTCTAAGTCTAAAGAGGAGCATCTCTAACACTGCTCTTCTGAGCTGCCTTACACTCAGACCTTCAGCAGTGCGACTGAGCGAATGCTGTGAAACGTTTCTCACGACACCTAGTTCTACATGGGGAGGCAGGGTCATGTAATTTTTACCAGATTTTTTGGTGATTTGAGTCTCATCTGAATGTGCCATAGCCAATTTTATGAGGTGTTTTCCCGTGTCAGAAAAGATTCTGGCTCCTTTCACCTTCTATGAAATGAGCAGTGGAGTGTTATATTAATCCCATGTCAGTACAAATGGCATCATATTCTGTGGAAAAGGAGTTTCTTAAGTAAGAAGGCACTCGAAGAAGTGTTCACTTGTGATCTCTGTGGCTCAAATCAAGCAGATATGTACTGTCCTAGCTTAAATGTACAACCCTGAACATAAAACAACGTTTAATTTTACGCAGTGATGATTGTTGGCTGTGAATTCTCAAGCTAATGACACTGCAAATGACAAAGTGCACTTACTTAAGACAGCAAGATAGATGGTTAGGGCAATTCAATTCATTTCAATTCAATTCAATGCTACTGTCATTATGCATATACACTGCTGTATGGAGAAAACCTCCTATCGCCAAAATGGTAACTTTACAGGAGAAGGAAAAAACATACGTTACTTTTAATGTAAGTCAATGGAACCAGAGTTTTTACTGTAAGTAATTTTGGGCCGTTTCTTTTGGTCCATTCACCCTGAAATTTATACAATGTAAAGAACGCCAGACATTTTCGACCTATGTCGAAAACTGAAAAACGAGAAAAATGGAGATACAAATGATAATGAAACACACTCAGGCTATATCTGGTGCATAAACATTAAGACAGGAACATAAGTACACATGGACTAAATGGATGACAGACAATATGTATATACAAGATAAGTACAAAAAACAATAAATAGATAATACAATAAAAACATTAGACAATAAATACAGAATAAACTGGTAAACTGGTGCACAGACAGTGTGTGTAAGTATGTGCAAAATATGTGTGGCAATTTTCAGATGTAGTGTTCAGTAAAGATGGTGTGCATGTTAGTTTAAGTGTTCAGGCCGAGTATATATGAAGTCTGTCAGCAGTTCAGAACAACATTAAAGTACAGAGTGTATATAGTATTTGTAATAATGATCTGGTGCGGTTGTAACCAGTTTAACGGCTCGAGGGTAGAAACTGTTCTTGAACCTGGTGGTTCTGGTTTGAAACGGAATAACAGCTAAATTAAATGTTTTAACATGCTTTCTGCTGTTCAGTGTGTAAACAGAGTAGCCCCTTTAACGGTTTTCATTTAACCCATGCAGATTAGTTATTAACATTATATACATCCTGTGGTAAACTGGTTTTACCTCACCTCTCTGTGGAAAACTAGTCCTGTCAGAATAGTGCTTTAGCCTAATATGAGGACTCTTACATTTAATAGACACAGTCATACACGAAAGTGTGAGTAGTCGAAGTCAAATGTCATGTTTTATTGAAAACGTTACACATCCTCTACAGAGAACACACTTAAATATTGCAATTTTCTGCAAATTTTAGTGCACAGTTTCTATCTGTTTGCATAGTTTACCATAAGATATAAAATGTGCCATAACTTTTGAACAGGACATGTTTTTTTACTATTCCAAATTTAGCAAATAAACAGTAATTGAGCATTAAAATGCACAGGAATGTGTCCTCTATAGAGGATGTATGAACGTCTGTTCTCTTAGAAAGCAAACAAAACATGTCATTTGACCAGGAGTGACCAAAGCGCCTGCATACGGCTGTTTATTAAAGTTCAATCTGCATGACCCGGCTCTGAGGGAAAATCAATGTAGCACTTTGAAAGGAGCGGAAATCATCGCCATTTCATTTTGTTTGCTCCATGGTATGGCATATGATTCATAGGTCAATACGGGGGCAGTGGGAGGCCAGCATATTATAATTAAGTACATATGTCAATGAAAACACAGTAAAGTACTTTGTACAGCTTATCCTACATAGAGCAATAGTGTTTGAAGCTGTTCTAGCCTTTGTGATTTGACATACATGTTTTTTCCAATATTTTTAATCAGTGTTATATTATGAATCTATTTATTTATGATGTTTACCTTGCATGTTGCATGTAAATTGCATGTACCATTCAATAAGCAATGATACTGTTTTCATAAATAATAGCACACAGCCATTATTAAGAGGAAAATAAGACTTCAAAGGGTTTCAGAGTGATTCATTTTAGTGGGGTAGATCTACTAACATTTGTGCTGTCATGAACCGCCTTTTTAAAACACATTTAAAAAGTGACATTATTTACTACATCATGGTCTGCTAGCACCCATAATAAGATCAACGAGGTGGCCGCTGCTATTTTGTGCCTTTGCTCATTGTCTATGCATTTATATGAGTTTCACATTGAAAGCACAACATACTGGGAGAAGATGATTACAATGAACGAGCTACTCCAATTTACAGAGGATGATCCAGATGATCAGGCAAGCTATTTAGCACTTGTGAAGAGCTTGTCTTATTTTTAGCACTACCATTGTTTTCGCTCAACAAAAACATTATTTTTTTCCCTTGTTTCTGGCAGCACTATGTAAAATCTGGCTTATGTTTAACCTCTCAAAATTCTGAACTATTATAATGGATATAATGACCCATTTTCTCAATATAATGACTAATCAGTAAATACTGAGGGGTAATAACTGATTATTTTAACTTGCTACTTCAAAATCTTGAGAAAACGGATCAATATTTTGACATAAACCACTTTTTTGACTTGCTAAGTCATAATATTAAGATAACAAGTCATTATTTTCAGATAAAATATCAAATGTCCATTTAAAAAAAAGAAAAAAGAACACACTGCTGCCAGAATCAGTTTCTCCTACCTGGAGAAACTGAATGAATACAAAAAGAATGTGACCAATGGTTTGTCATGGTTTATGTGGTGATAATCATATGTTAATTACAAAGTGGCACCTGGGTTCATTTGTATAAAAGTTCTGGTAACACTGTCACCTTTGTAAGCATCTATAAACACATTCATAACATGTTTATAATGCATTCATAATGCATTATAAACATGGCTATAAATATTTATAAAAATGCATTACACGTTATAGCCATGTTTATTATGCATTATGAATTGTTAACATAATACATTATAAGTACTGTTCATAACTAAATTATAAGAGCTCATAAGTCGTATTTGTCCACTCTAAGTAAAGTGAAGCGTACTGTACTAAAGCCTCCTCCAGTGTTCAGAGTGAGGCTTCAAGTTGAAGTATTTACTGAAGGATTTACTGAAACACTAAAACATTCACAGTAAAGCACATTACAGGCTTCAAATGTCAGAGTTTAAACTAGAGCTGCCATCAGTGTTTTACTCAATGTGGGAAAGGTAATGTTCACCACCGTTAGCTTGGTATTTGTCTTTACTTTACGCTCTCCAAGCTGGGACTGACTTCTTTGGCACTGACATTATAACATGTTATTAACACTATTTATAATGCATTATGTTAACAATTCATAATGTATAATAAACATGGCTATAAAGTGTAATTCATTTTTATAAATGTTTATAACAATGTTTATGAATGCATTATAACATGTGTTTATAGATGCTTACAAATGTGACATTCATAGAAAGTGTTACCAAAGTTCTTAGTAGATAAATTTGTCTCTCCCACCAAACTGCCTCTTTTATTTCCCCCAGTGTGTTTATGTGTAAAAAAAAATCATATTTATGCCTCTGAACAAATTCTTGCATCTGCAAAAACATTTTCACAAAGAGGAAAAAAATTCTAAACTTTGTTTTACATTAACTTAAATTAAGTCATTTTGGTCAGTTTTTATGACTGCACTGTGTTGATTTTCTCCCAAAATACAAATTCAGATTGTGTAAAAATATAAAAATGCACAGCTTTGACCTGAGAGCAACAATAAAATCAATATGTATCCTCAGACTTATACTCTGTTTTCCTTGTTCTACTAAAAGCTGAACAAACAGGAACAAAAACTGGACATTATCCTTCAAAACGTAATGATGTGCATTCATTTTAATTGGATTCCTTCACATCATCACCATCGTTAGGATGTCTACATCCTCTAATATGATAATATGAAATTCCTCAGAAACTATTGGAACCATAAAAACCTGGCAGAAGGAGACAAGGCAGAAAGAGACAAGACCAACCACTGTTGGAGCAGTTTGTGAAAGACGTGAGAAATCAAACGGCTTGTCACTGACGCATCAATCGTGATTGTGAATTATGCCGCTCACTGTTAGCTAATTACTGTGATAGTAACTACTAACCGATTTTAATCAGGGGATTTAATGAGGGGAGTCTCTTTTTGGCATCTTGTCAAGCAGAGAGTCTGTTGATGCATCTGTGGACATCTTAACGAGCAAATTAAAGATTAAACTGATAGGCCAGCTCATCAGGCTGGATCACAAATGCTAACTCTAATACACCAGCATGCACTAAGACACCATTCATGTCCCCAAATAAAAAGTGCCCTTTTGATGAGCTCTAAATGCTTTAAGTGCTGCTGTGCTAAACATGAACAACTTTAAAGTGTCTTTGGAGGACAAACACCGCTTGACTGTGTTGGTAAATTTATAAAACAACTTTGTTTCTCATGTCCGAACTTTTTTTTGCCTGTTAGTTTACGTCACATGACAGCAACAGAAGGTTTGCCAAGTTCCAAATACTCTGTAAGGTGTGAGACTGTAAGGTAATTAATTGTTATGCACACCAATAAAGATGTCATTAAAAATCTATATAATAAAAGCAGAGTTGTTTGATAGCAAGATTACATGCTTTGAGACTTATAAGTTTATTGAAACTGACAAAGCCTCTCGATATTTAAGTAAGTATTATATATGTTTGGTTAGCTAACTGCTATCATCTCACAGTGTTTATACATGGGTAGGCTTTTGAAGTAAGTCATCGTCCTGTTTTGGTCGTTTTTGTCATACGCTAAGGAGAGAAACAAGGTTAGTTGTCTATCACATCCACCAGCCTCAGTGCTATACCTTGGCAAATGCTAATGGTGTTTGCATGATTGGCCAAAATCCAACCTGAGTTCACCAACACACCACCACAGTTTCTGTAGTCACTCCCAGCTGAACAAATTACCTCCATAATCCATTTTTTCACATTAATTTCTACTCCTGCCAGAAAATAAAAGCTTAAAAAAGACTGGGGTTGTTCACGTTGCCAGGGTTACTGTCATCTTGTGATCTGAAACACACAGTCCTGATCAAGCAGAGGAGAGGAAAGGATGAATGTGTAGTGAATTTCCGTTTGTGCATAATAATAATAATAATGATTATAATAATAATAATAATAATAATAATTGGAAAAAAATCATGCATGGAAATCTGAAAAATGTCATTTTGAAACACTTCAGCTAAAGTATGTGCACACCACTGCTCTAGCATAAATGCTAATTCTACCTTTAATTCTGCTAAATGTGTTAAAAATGCTCTGACATGGTTCAATTTTAGGAAAGAGATTCTTTATAATTAGAATGCATTTTTAATCCCACGTCGGTTCTTTCGCTTTCAGCCTGTGGCCTCCTGTAAACTCTAACTCGAACATTTAAATGAAGCAACTGAAAGTGAGGAAATGAGCTGGGAGTGAAACGGTGGTCATACTGTAAAACCTGACGTTCCTGAAAATGTCTAAACCTACAGTTTATATATCCTTAGTCAGTATATTAGTAAGCGTAGCTGTTGAAAACTGTGTCACTGCGACTCACCCAGCATCTTGGTGACCTGTCTCCTGCGCCCAGTCTCCACTTGGATCCTCCAGCTGGTGTTCTCGCTGCAGTTCTTGCCCAGTTTCGTGCCCTGCTGCCTCTGCTCCCTGCCCAGCCTCAGCCCAATCACCAGGTACAGCCCACTGATCACAGTCATGGGTACAAAGTAGAAAAGCACAGTGGTCACTTGGATCACCAGGTTGTAGATCCACTGGGGTTTGAGAAGGTTGCAGGTGGCCGATTCCAGCACCTTCTCGGGCAGGTAATAGTAGTGAAGGCCATGGAGGGAAGTGTTTGGAATGGCGCAAACCAAAGAGACGACCCAAACGCCTCCGATGACCCTCTGGGCATGCTTGTTGGTGATGGCGTAGCGGGTCTTGAGCGGATGGACCACGGCTATGTAGCGTTCAATGCTCAGAACCGTGACATTGAGGACCGATGCGAAGCAAACTGTCTCAAACAAGAAGATCTTGAAGTAGCAAACGCTTTCTCCAAACGGGAACGGGTAGTTCTGCCACAGATCGTAGATTTCCAGAGGCATCCCAAACAGCAGCACTAGCAAGTCAGATATGGCCAAGCTAAAGAGGTACAAGTTGGTGGGAGTCCGCATTTTCCTGTGCTTGGTGATCACAGTACATGTTAGAAGGTTCCCCATCACCCCGGTGATGAAGATAAGGATGTAGGTGAGAGTTACAGGGAGGAAGAATGGGGATCTTCTCGGCCCGAGAAGTCTGAAGAGGATATCATCCAGAGTCTGGGGCTGGCAGTACCCGCTCCCATTGCCAGTGTGGTTCAACGTGATGTTGCAAAGAGCAAAGCCAAATTCTGTTCCATTCAATTCGCAAAAGCAGTTCAAGGACATTGTGGGGCGGGAAATCCACAGGTTCCAGTCCAGAAGATTCTCAAGAGGACTGTTAAACTGCAGTTTCTGTTAAGTTTTAGACCTCATGTTTGCTATAATGGAGACCTGTGGAAAAAAGAAGCATTTCTTCTAAAATGATGTGCATGTAGAATCATTCAGAAATGACCAGAAAGTCCTATCACGACTGATTATGTCATTAATCATGTAATTTACTGGTTTTACTGAATGAGCAGAGTTTTTAAAATAAGTTAAAGCAATAAAAATGCACTTAAGTGAACAACAATAAACAATGCACATCCTTCTGAAGATGCCATTTTATTGGAAATAGAAATAGGAACATTTTCTGAAAGGCTATATAAACAAAATTAAAATAAATGCATGTAAAAGGGCCCTCATACAAAATGACAATGTAATCTAAGAAGCCTTAGACTGTGTTACATCATTCTGATACTGCAGGATTTAAATAAAAACATACCTAAATAAATAAATACAGCATATTGTATTGTGTCGCATTGGATCATATTGTACTATGGCCAATAGTACTATGGCTTTTCATCGTAGCTAAATGACAATTTAAAAGCACTTAAGCAGACATACATTGTTCCCAAATAAAACATTTAGTATATGTTAAAGTATGATTAAAGTGCAGACATTACTAGTATGTACTTTTCATACTAAGCACACTTTCACTACGCCTGAATACATTTTCTTTCACAAAGGAGCTCATGGCTAGTTTGTTATCAGGGCACAGCTTTTGTTTAATGTTCATATGCTGCAAAGAAACCATACGTATATAAACCACAACGCCACTCTAAAATCTCAAATATTGTACTTATATAATGCTGAATGCTCTAATTAAATACAAATGGAAACAATTTCATATTACTATCAATATGCTGATACAGAGCTCATTTTCACATATTGCTTATTTAAGCTTTATCAAAAATGTACTGAATTGAGATACCAGTATATTGCCGTCGCACATCCTGATCATAATAAATATACATAGTGTGTTTTATAATGAATAGACCAACAGAAATGGACCAAAATCACTTGGAATACATTGACTTCCTTTACCCTTCCTTTACCATGTTGGAGATAAAAGGGTTTCATCTACACAGTGATGATATGGTCCATCTAAAGGCACCATTAATAGCTATATATTGTCACTCTGTATCACACAGGGTCACTCTATACCACCCCGGTATACAACTGCGTAAAACACTGACCAGAGAGACCACCAGTGGATCCATGAAAGCTCAACTGGATGGCAGTATGTGATTGAGCTCTGATTGGGCCCATGTTTCATTCAGACGACAGCAGGCAGCATGAAGTATAAAGCAGTGGAAACCTTCTGAAATCAAGCCACCAGATCCTCTGCACTGGATCTTGCAGTGATGTCATTTATGAGCTTTTCTGCAGCTACAGAAAGCTAGAGGGGATATGTGTCTCCTTTCCCTTATATCCCCTGCCAGGAAAAGCAGGACAGTACATATAAACTCATAGCGTCTTGGGTCTTTTAAATTCTGTCACTTTGTATAGTCTTTGCTATTATATATGCATAACTTGGCTTTTTTGTTGCTTTTATAACTCTGCAGTTTATTCTGGGATTAATAACATTTTTGTTTATGTATGTATGTGTATATGCATGTGTAGGGCTGGGCGATAAAACGATAACGACAAGTATCGCGATATAACTTTTCCTCGATAGAGCGATAAGGTTCGATAAATGTTCGATATAATACACCTTTCTCACACTTCCACGTTTTAGTGAAAGCCCTGGTGGCGTTTTCTACTGCAAGGAAAGCGACACTACTCTGCTGTCGCCAGGAGAGGGCGCACTTCCGAATTTTTCGACTTGATTTGAGAGGGAGGGGGCCACGAGTAAAAAAAGGGTCGCCAAATATACTTTGGCAACGGCTGAAACGTGGAGTTATACAGTCCCTGTTTGAGTGGAGCGACCGGCGATCTGTTCTCCTGTGACCGAGTGTGAGTGACGAGGTCAGTGGCGTAACTGTACTGTCCTACGGTGAACTCACCTCTTTCCGTGCATCCTAACAACTTCAGCGGTGTTAAATCAGGTCTGCAGCGCCGTGTTACAGCGCCAAACCGTCATATTTTAGTATTAGTGCATTCTCGAGCAGCGAAAGTGAAAGAAAGAAGTGGTTCATGTTCGAAAGTAAACTGAGGAAGCTGTGAGGCGTTGGAGAGCGGGAGAGCGCTATCTCTCCAGGCTAGCTGTTTTTAGCTGCTGGCTAACTTGAAGCAGCGCTCCGGCACAACACGGTGAACTGATGATACTGTAGATCAAATAAGACACAAAATCACCGCTTTCAGTTTAAACATGCCTAAAAGGAGGACTCTGTGACTGGTGTGAGAGATTCACACTGCAGATAATGCTTTTACACAGCGAGCGTCAGATATACTGCGGTTCACCCCTTAAACTACTGCGATAGCATAGAGAAACCCAGTCGTCTAGCTGGTGTCTGAATACTGTGATCTGCTCTGACATGGATGTGGTGGGAGTGACCGCAGTGACCTACCGAACCGAGCTGACGTTGTTGAGAAACTAAAGAGTTTAGCACTGTTGTTGGCCACTTGTTTAGCGTTTGTAGCGGGGTAGCCGAGCGCTCGTCACCAGACAGCTAAAATAATCTGTTTTCTTTCTTAAATCATGACTATTACAAAAATTGCAGCTGTGCTTTTCCAGCTGATAAAAACAGCTCAGAAACTTTCTCCCACTGTCCCAAGACAGATTAGTGAAATGTTCCACTGTGTGCTGAGTGTTTGTGATGATCGGACCATAAGTGATAGTTTAAAACCACAGTTAACCCCCCAGGAGCAAAATCAGCCTTCAAACGTGAAAGAAATCATGATTTGACATTTATCGCGACATGTTTTTGGCCATATCGCCCAGCTCTATGCATGTATGTATGTATGTATTTACAGCTGTATGCATATATTTGCGCTTCCCTGGTCAAATGACATGTTTTGTTGGTTACAGAGGATTTAGAGAATGTAGAGAATGTGTTAACTCATGTTCACATTTGCATACCGCATGTATCTGTCTATCTATCTATCTATCTATCTATCTATCTATATAAAGCCCCCCAACATTGGGCAGTGGAGCAGTGGTGCTGCGGTGATGGAGCTCCATCCAATACCTTTGGGATGAGTTGGGAAGGATTGTGTTAATGATACAGAGTTAATTATTCAACATCAGTGGCTCTTGTTGTTGAATGCAATCATATCCTCACAGCAATGTTCCAGCATCTACTGTAAAGCCTTCCCAGTAGAGTACAGGCTGTTACTGCAGCAGACAGAGAACAAACACTATACCAATCTGTCTGTCTATTTATCTATCTATCCCTGTTGCCTCGGTTCATGGTCACTGAGTTTCTTTGGAGACTGAATTTGATCTATGAAACTTTTTAAAGCCGATGCTGACCCCTCCATAATAAAACTGCACAAATACACCCATCACTGGACTCACAATCATAGCAGACATGCTTCACCCACATCTTCAACCTGCATCGCCTTGGTGATCAGTGCAGTGTTTTCCAATTGTAGCTTCTGATTAAAACCAGTCTGCTGCATCTGCTCCAACACATCTGATTCAACCCATCAGCCCAGTCGCAGCCTTTGATGAGGCTGAAATTGAGACATCAGTGCAGTGATTCACATTCCTAGTTTACGCCTCCTCTGCCCTGCACATTTAGCCGGTTTCTTACTCCAACATCTCTAGTTCAGCCTCATGAATGGCTTGGTGATGATGAGTTGAGACAGTAGCAAAAATTTTAATGTGTCTCAAATGATAAATTATTCCACAACCAGTGTTTTGAAAAACTACTCTAGTGCAGCAGTTTCAGAGAGGAACATTTCCAAAGTCTGAGCTGTGACACTGATCCAGTGAGTCTGAATCTCATATACATGATATTTAACCTCAGACCAAGTATCTCCATCATCAGACTCAGATCATTTAGAAGGACACGTACCTCTTTAACAGGATCCAAACCCACGAACCGCATCCAACCGCACAGAAAACGCTGCCAGAACTTCTGAGTGTCGAGTTAGTGAGGCTTTCAGGCAGCAGCTGGGTAAAGAGCGGTGGAACAGCATGAAGTGATGGAGAGAGAGTGGAGAGTGTGCTCCACTCGCGCATGCGCACACGACGCCGCTTCTTATCTCTCACTCCTGGCCGATGTGCTGAGACGAGGTGTTGTGTGCAACCGTATTCCGAACGCTGTGATTGGCCGATAGTGTCCCGCCTCCTGCGTTGGGATAGGACGGTGTGCACTACGTGGTTACATTAAAATTTTGACTTCATTAAACTTAAAATAATAAGTTAACAGAATTCAAAACACAGATTATTCAGTTCAATGAACTCAAATGTTAGAGCAACTCTTTAAAGTTTTATTTATTTATTTATTTTTTTTTTTTAAAGCTAAAAAATCCTGCACTGCAACTGGACAATACTGCCCCCTCCTGCTGCACTGCGATTGGGCAGTTCGTATGCTTCATCTCAGTCTGTCATTTGGCAAATCAAAAAACTAGGCTGTATCAGAAATTCTGAAGTCGGATTGATTCCAAGAGTCGACTCCACATAATAATCAATGATTATTGATTCCAAAAAATCAAGACCTGAGCTCATTCACACAAGTGAAGTACGGAGCCCTGCTGGTGACATCCCGTATAAATAAAAACAACGCGTGGCCACAACTAGTAAAGCATGGGAACGAGTTAATTAAGTCATGGCCACGACTTAGTAAGGTGTGGGAACGAGACGATTAAGTTGTGGCCACGACTTAGTCCGGTGTGGGAACAAGATCATGCCTTATTAAGGCTGTGGTCAAGGCTTGATCATCTCATACCCATGCCTTACTAAGTGGTGGCCATGACTTCATTATCTCGTTCCCACCCCTTAGTAAGCATCATTTTTATTAGTACAGTTTTCACAGCAGGGCTCCGTAGTTAAGTGTGATCATAAGCGGAGATGATCT